AGAGGGTGGAAGATTCTAAAAGCTAGGATCTGGACCAGAAAGAGGATTCCCAGAACCTTGGCCATGCTTGAAAAGGTCAGGGTTGGCTGAAGCTCCAGGTAAGGGGGGGGGGGGGGGAGGCAGGAAGAATCAAGCAGGAAACAGCTAAAAAAAAATCACACCTGCAAGTTGATCGATGTGGATAAATCCTGTTTGGGGGGCAGGGAGTGCACAGAGTGAGTCAGGGTCTCACTACATTCCATGCTGACATTGAGCTCACTGCTCTCTGACCTTAGACTCTTAGCTACCCTTCTGCCTTGTCCTCCTGAGGGCTAGGATTACAGACATGAACCATAATGCCTGGCCCAAGAGCCATCAGTTTTTAAAACAAAATTCTGAAGCAGAAGGAATGTCAGCATTCTTCCTACATTATCACTGGACCCCAGCCTCCTTTCAACAGCTGCCAGATTGCTTCCTCCTACAGGGAACCCAGGATGTGTTCTCTGTCTAACCTTAGGGGAGAGGGTGGGCCTCACTCCTGTTCTCCTTCCTCAGAGGCCACATCCCTGAAGCTCTCTAGGATGCAATTCACCACGAGCTCTCTTCAGCCCCTGCTCATCCTGTACATGGCCAGCAGACTCTGCTTCCTGTCCAAGCCTGAGGGTCAGATGCCCTTGGCCTCAGAATATTGCTACCTGACAGTGCTGGGAGGCAGAGCATCAATTTTGTTGACTCCTGTCTTTCCTTTGTGCTAACAGTTAGCACTCAATAAATATTTATTAAGTAGGTGATGAATAAAAGAATTAAAAGGCTCAGGCTGAGGATATACCTCAGTGATGGAGTGTTTTCATAGCATGTGTGAGGCCCAGCAAACAAACAAAACCCACAATGCAAGCTTCAAATGGAAAGACTTACAGTGTTGCTTGCAGAAGAATGTGTTTTGGGGATCAGACCTGTAAGGAGTCTGTAACCCTAGCTACTGGGAAGGCTGAGGCAGGGGGGATTGAGAATCCAAGACCTATCTGGACTACTGAGCAAGCTCAAGGCCAGCCTGTGCAAACATAGCAAGATCTGGGGCTGTATAGTTCAGCGGCTAAGCACTTGCTTAGTGCATGAGGCCCTAGGTTCAATGCCTAGTGCTGGGGGTGAAGGTGTATATGGAGTGGGGGTAGATGGGGTCAAGGATGGAAATAGTCATATGAAAATATGCCTACAACACAGGGGCTTTTAAGATTCGTGAACTCATTATAACCTTATGAGGTCAAGTGACCTTCTAAGATCACATGACTGTATTCTTTTCGAGGTCATGTGACTGGTAAGAAGCAAAGCTGGGAGTTCCAGAGGCATTCTGACTAGAAACCCAACCTGTTCTGAGGGACACTTAGTCTGCTTGTAGAGGGAAGCATCTGAGTATTGTTTTCTATGCTTAGTAACACAAGGACTTGGAAAACAGCAGCACTGGGGGAGGGCAGAGAAAGGAAGACAAAGGACCCTATGTAGTGTGAGGCCTTGCAGGGGTTCTCAGCCTTCCTAACTCGGCAACCTTTTAATACAGCTACTCATGTTGTGGTGACCCCAACCATAAAATGATTTTCATTGCTACTTCCTAACTGTAACTTGGCTAGTGTTAAGAATCATATATCTTTGGAGATAGAGGATTGCTGAAGGGGTTTTAAGCCACAGGTTGAGAACCACTGCTTTGGACCTTGGAATTGAAGGAAAGCAGTCTATAGATATTGGAAGTCTTTTTCCTTATAAAACACAAATTTCCCTTTGGCCTTGGAGCTCAGAAATAGGACTTATATCAGGGAGGCTGGGGAGATGGTTCAGCAGATAAGAGCACTTTGTGCTTTTCCAGAAGCCCCAGGTTCAGTTCCTAGCTCGTATACGTCAGCTTACAACCATCTGTAACTCCAGTTCCAGGGGATCAATGGCCTCCTTTGGTCTCCTCCAGCATCAGGTAAGTACATGGTGTGCAGATATGAATACAAACACTTACACACATATAATAAGTCTTTTTAAAAATATCACTCCAGGCTATAGAGGTGGCTCAGCAGTTAAGAGCACTAGCTGCTCTTCCAGTGGTCCTGGGTTCAAGTCCCAGCACCCACAAGGCAGTTCACACTACCTGTAACTTCAATTCCAAGGGATTTGACATCCTCTTCTGTACCCCATAGGTACCAGGCATAAGAATGGGTCACAGACACACATGCAAGCAAAACACCCATACACAGAAAATAAAGATAAATAAAAAATTTAAGATGTCATTTTTTTTGAGTCAGCCATGCCAAAACATTACCATTTCCACCATCATGGAAAAAAAATAAAGGTAGTGGTACATACCTTTAATCCCAGCAATAGGGAGGTAGAAGTAGGTGGATCTGAGTTTGAGGCCAGCCTAGATTACAGAGTGAGTTCCTGGACAGCCAAGGCTACACAGAGAAACCTTTCTTAAACCACCATCACTCCCGAAAATTAAATAAAATAAAAATAATTTTGACAGAAAAACTGGGTGTTAAGAAAATAAGAAAACTGGGTTATTCTTTTTAAAAGGATTTATTTATGTTCATTCCTACCACTGAATATTACTCTGGCTCTCTATTTTTTTTAAATGTTTTTATTTGTATCTGCGTGAATGTATGTCATCTGTGTATGGGTGCCTTAGAGGCCAGAAGAGAACACCAGAACCCTGAGAACTGGAGTTACAGGCATTTGTGAGCCACCAAACATGGATGCTGGAAATTGAACTCGGTCCTCTGGAAGAGCAGGAAGAGCTCTTAACTGCTGAACCATCTCTCCAGCTCAGAGAGGATCACATGGTAGTCCTCAGCTGTGATCCCAGAGCTTAGGAGGCTGGGGCAGGAGGACAATAAGTCTGAGGCCAGCCTAGGTTTCTGCAGGTCATCTTGGTCTACCTCTTGAGACTATGTCTCAAAACACAATGTCTGCAACCCCCAAACAAAACCACCAACGATCACGACACAGTCAAAGACTGGCTTCCAGAGTTACAGTGTGTTCTTAGTATATGTATGGCTCTGGGTTTGATCCCTAGTATCAAATAATCAGACAAGCGAGGGAGAGTGTAGCTGGTTTCCTATGATACTGTGGTGAGTCTCTGTTGTGATCTTTGGGATAGCTTGTGGCTCGGAGTCCTTGAATCTTGTGAACAGCTTTACTAGCTTGCTTTATGCTATTCTCTCTTCCAGGGACAGCAGGAAGTTCCAAATATCCCATCCTCCAGCCCCACTCACCAAGCTGCACATGGAAACAGTGCAAGGTAAAACAGACAAGCTTTTCTTTAATTCTTTTCCCTATAGACTAGCTGGACTCATTTCCAGTGTGCTGTCCGATAGAACCTGGGACTGGAATGGAGTCTAGGCTGCTCACTAGCTAAGCTTTGTGACCTCAGCTAGTCACCCAGCTCAGTGTTTATCTTGTGGTCAACCAAAGACCATGGAAGCTGGAGTCTGGGGTTCATAATCATATCTATCCTCACCTGATGTGGCCCACTTTCTGTGTTCTCTCCCTTGGAAGGGCAGCTCCACAGTGTAAAGGAGTAAGGCTGAAGCTGCTATAACCAAGCCTGCCTGTCACAGCTAGGAGAGGCACAGTGCTGCCATGCATGGGTCTGAACTGACTATCCCTGGCAGGTCACTATGAACCTGAGTGTGACTGAGAGTATGAGCACTTTTCTCCTTGAAAAAGTATAGTAGAACTTGTCTTTAAAAACACTGCTAAAGAAAGTGTGATGTTAATCCCAGCTCGGAGGAAGCAGAAAACTCAGCATCAGGGGTTCAAGGTCAGCTTTGGTTACAGAAGAGCCCGTCTTAAAACAAGCAATTTTTTTTTTTTTTTATATAGCAATGGGGCTGAGAGATGACTTGAGAGATAAGAGTGAGGGCTACATTTTCAGAGTTCAGTTCCCAGCACCCACATTGGGAGGTTCACAACTGCCATCACTCTAGCTCCAGGGGATAAAATGCCTTCTGTGGACACCACTTACACACATGTGATGGGTACACACACACACACACACACACACACACACACACACACACACACACACAAAGACAAGAACTCCCCATTGCCTAAGGGTCTATCTTCTTGAGAAGTAGCCAACTCTCTTCTATCCCTGAAAAGGCTTTTATGTGTCATTGAGGAAGCTAGGAATCCAGGAAAGGGGCAGTGGGAGGTCATGACCCTAATTCAAATTAAGAAGGTAAAAATGAAAACCTTGTATGGTGGCTGGACCCCCTGAGAGACTAAGATTGGAGGAATGCGATGCACACAACCAGATCTAATCTCAAAAACAAAACAAGGGGTTGGAGAGACAGCTTAGCAGTGAAGAGCAGTGACTGCTCTTGCAGAGGACCTGGGTTCAGTCCCAGCACCCACATAGCAGCTCACAACTGTCTGTAACTCCGGGATCCAACACCCTCACACAGACACACATGCAGACAAAATACCAATGCACATAAAATAAAAATAAATAATTAGCCGAGCATTGGTGGCTCACGCCTTTAATCCCAACTCTCCGGAGGCAAAGGCAGGAGGATCTCTGAGTTCAAGACCAACCTGGTCTACAGAGCGAATTCCAGGACAACCTCCAAAGCAAGAGAGACCCTGTCTCGGAAAACCAAAATAAATAAAATAAAAAAAATAATTAATCAAAAAAAAAAAAAAACTACCACCACCAACAAAGCAAAAAAAGCCAGGCAGGGGTGGGCACACACCTTTAATCCTAGCACTTGGAAGGCAGAGGCAGGTGGATTTCTGAGTTCAAGGCCAGTGTCTTATTCCTTGGAGCTGGAGTGCCAGGCAGTTGTTAACCTCCCTGGCTGAAAATACTGAATTTGTCAATTTTTTTTTTTTAAAAGGAAAAGAAAGTCTGGAAACTGCTTTAAAGAAAGCTTTATTTACCACATACATCCTAAGAATGTACTCTGGAAATGCAGCGAAATCTAAAAAGCTTTTCAAATACCAAGCTAAACACTAAACTAGTAGCATGTCTAAAACTTTAAAACATTTAAAAACATTTATATTAGTTTGTTCTTAATCCTAAAAAAAAAAGTTCACATTTCAAGTTATAAACTTACCTCAGTAGTGTACATGAAATGGTTGTGAGACGACAGGGGTAGGTGAGACCACAGACAGCAGGGCCACTGATGCTTAACTGGCTGCCACCAAGGCTTGTTAAGGTGGTTGCCACATTAAAATAGTGCATTTTTTCCTTTTATTATTATTATTAGTTTTTTTTTGTTTTCTTGCAAATGTTTCCCCGGAACTTGTAAAATACAGTAAGAACATGGGGCCAGTGTTCCATCGGAGGACCTTTGTAACTATCCTTGGCACTTCTTTCCCACAAGTCAAGGGAGGAGGACCTGGTAGGAGGTGCCTTTTATGGAGTCACTCATCCCAACACTTGGGTGTGGATGCAACTTCCTGGGTGAATCCTCAGAACATTGCACAGCTACTTTATGTCATTCAACCAGGATGGAGAGGAAAGGTTAAAGGCCCTTAGCAGGCATTCAACCATTTTTTACAATAGTTTAATAAATATTCCTTATATATAAAAATCCATCGCATCAAAAGAAGGGGAAAAAAGACATTTGGGAATCTCTTAATTTAAAAGAGAAAAAAAAATTAAACTATCTGAGAGCATTGGCTAAGGGCACGATCCTAGGACTAATCCACAAATAACAGTTAAGCCCATTAGCAAACTCTGGCAGGAAGAAAGATTTGATGGACTTTGTTATGACATGAAATACAACTGTGTGTCTTATTGTGCTCCTTTTTGCACACCTCACGTCCTTGACCAAGCCTTTTAAAAAGAGAGTTGACGTAATTCATACAACAGATGACAATATTAGCATTTTACTGTATTTTACATTCACTCTGCCTAAGAGAAGCCTTTAAACAGGCATCTGTGTATTTACTTCCTAAAAAGAAAAAAAATAGCAAACACTTTAATAATATTGAAATAAAATGGCTGCGTTTTGCATTTCACTACACACCGTGAACTTTGGCAATACAAAAGGACTACAAGCAAGCATCAGAAGCTATTCAGAAGCTCCCCTTTAACTCCTACAGGTCACTCCTCCTCCTGGATTCATATGCCCCATGTTCTTCTAGCGAATGAAGAGCAACCTAGGGGAGCCTTGCTGACAAGCATAATGCTTCCAACACCCCTGATGATGGCAGACATTCTGCAAGAAGGCGACTAGAAGCTTAACTTCCTGTTAGGCAATCTTGAAGGTCTTGTCCATAATCATATATATTCTTGGTCTCTAAAAACTAGGACTTCAAAAATCAAAGCATTAGAAAGTCAGGGTTTCATACTGAGCAATTAAATAGCTATGCAAAGATGTCTTACGAAAACATGGTAAAATCTTGTCCTTACATGTATTCTGCTACTGAAAACACATATAGAAGGTAATACCTCCAAACAAACTAAAAAAAAAAAAAAAAAGACCTCAACAAAATCCCAGGAAGAAGTATAAGGTATCAGTTGTTTTCTCAGAATAAAAGTTACACTGGAGGTAGGGGAAGGAGGGGAGGAGGAGGCGGGAGGGGATAGTTAATAAAGATCCAGGGAGGGTGAGCCCAAGATAATGAAAACAGGTGACAGCTTTCCAGTGTTGGGACTCTGGGTGTGATGAGATTGTTACTAAAACAAAACCCCCAAACCAGAAACCATGATGAGAGTACATGGCAATACCCTTAACCCTTAATGCCAGGGAAATACAGCAGAGATTTTTACTTTTTGAAATTGTGCTTTCCAGCATCACCTTTAAAAATAATGCTTTATGTAGCATTTCAAAGCACTACAGTTTGTATCTTTAAATATTGAATATAATTTTAAAAATAGTACCCTAGATGCTTGGATGTGCTTTTTTTAAATATATATGTATATTTATATATATAGCTGATATATTTTGAAAGGTTCTACAAAATAGAAATCTCTGGAGTGCAGAAGTTAAGAAAATAACCTTCATACTGAAAATATATCCTTAAAAAACAAAACCAAACCTCTGTACAAATGCAGTAGAGCGTACAAATTTTAAAAGATGGTATTAAGGCGTGAGGCGTTGCAAGTCTCTTAGAAATGTATAAACGCGGGCCTGCTAAGTTGAAAAGTCTTTAAAAAAAAAGAGTGAAAACTTCATGGATATAAAATATTTCAGTGTGATATTTGCTAACATTCTTCACTTGCAGGTTTTGCACGTGTGCTAATCTGACACGTTCTTTCTTCATAAATAGTAAAGTGTTCCTTCAGCAGTGTTTTGCTTGCCTTGGCTCTAGTCCCTGGTCTCAGTAAGTCTGGTAGACGTCGTGGATGGGCACCTGGAGAGTAGCGGGGAAGGCCTGAGGTATGTAGCTGGCGTAGCCCCCGTACACGGCTGCAGTGTTCTTTTGTAGTGTGGCGATCGTGGCAGTGGAAGGAGCAGCAAAGGGAACGTAGCTGGCCCCATAGATGCCGGCGGTGGGAATTCTCTGAACATTTGGTGCCACGGTATACACAGGCGTTATTGGACGGCCCTGAGAGGGGAAAAAAATCCTTCCTGAGTGCTTGCTCATCATCTCCTTTAACAATGAGAGAAGATGAGCACGCCTGGGGGGAGGGAGGAAGAGAAGATGAGCACCCAGGGCAGGAGGGAGAGAAGATGAGCACCCAATGCAGGAGGGAGAGAAGAGGTCTAGGTAGGGAAGAAGAAAGGACAGTGACATTTGCTGAAGGAGAAAGAGATTAGACAGAGCAAAATGTCATCTTCAAGGGACTTGATGAGTTCAAATTCAGTGTTCAGACCAGTTCACAAAGAGAGGTGATGGCGGAACTGGGAATCTAATCTACCTTAAGAACACTAATTTAACCGGTCCTGGAATGTCCCTCCTGTTTAAAAGTACAATATACCAAGTATCCATAACAAATGGGGGAGGGTGGTACTGTGAGGGCCCATCTAAGGGTTTGTCATGGATTTAGGGTAAAAACAAACCACCACACAGTGGTTAAAGTACTTCGTGTCCTTCATGTTCCACAGAATGATCTGAACTCAACGCTGGTTTCTTCTCTGAGCCTTACTCTACCTTCAGAATATGTAATCTAGGATATAGGAAAATACATTTTTAAGAGTGACTCTTCCGAGGTCTTCCTTTTCAGTGTTGTGGACTGAACCTAGGACAGCCTTACTCTACCTTCAGAATATGTAATCTAGGATATAGGAAAATACATTTTTAAGAGTGACTCTTCCGAGGTCTTCCTTTTCAGTGTTGTGGAATGAACCTCATGCATACTAGGCAAAAGGGCTACAGCTCACCCTCTTTATGTTTATTATTAATCATTATTTAGCCTTTTGTTTTGGGATAGGATCTGACTCATCCAGACTAGCTTTGAACTTGCTCTGTAGTCCAGGCAAGCTTTGAACTTCCAATCCTCCAGCTTTGGCTCCCAAGTAGCTAGGATTACAAACCTGTGTCACCAGATATGGCTGCTTCCTAGTTTTTTTTTCTCTCCTGTTGTTTTTGAGACTAGGTCTCTTGCAGTGCAGTATGGCCTCCAAATGAACTGTATCTCAGTGATGATCCCCAAGTCCTGACCTCCCTGCCTCCACTTCCCAACTACTGGAATTCCTAGACTCTTATATTGGATCTAGCCATCGTTATCACAAAAATCTAGAAATCAGACTCACAAAATTATGTTCAAAAGAACTTCTAATTTAAGAATTTTTTTCTGAGCTAGAGAGATGGCTCAGAGGTTAAGAGCACTAGCTGCTCTTCCAGAGGACCGGAGTTCAATTCCCAGCAACCACATGGTGGCTCACAACCATCTATAGTGAGATCTGGTGCCCTCTTCTGGTGTACAAGCATGCATGCAGATAACTGTATACATAATAAATAAATACAATCTTTTTAAAAAAAGAATTTTTTTCTAACTGTAAAACAAATCTACAGTAATAATGAGCATAACTGAAAGGGTCTGGTCTTCCAGGCACTGTTCTTACTGGCTTATTTGTATGATTTTATGAAGTCATCAAAACCCTTAGTGAAGGCCTGGTGTGGTGACGCACACCTTTATTCCACACTCGAATTCCAGGCCAGCCTGGACTACATAGTGATAATCTGTCTCAACCTGGAACTCCTTTGAAAGAGCAGTACATACTCTTAACTGTTGACCCATCTTTCCAACCCTCTAAACTTAAATCTTATACAGTGTGAAACTTTTTTGTTGTTGTTGTTTTTCCAGGCAAGATTTCTCTGAGGCTTTGGAGGTTGTCCTGGAACTAGCTCTTGTAGACCAGTCTGGTCTCGAACTCCCAGAGATCCACCTGCTTCTGCCTCCCAAGAGCTCAGATTAAAGGCGTGCACCACCACCACC